ACGCAGAGGGTCTGGCCATTAAATCCGGTGTATGCGAGATCCATGGCGGTGCGGTGGAGCGAGGTATCTAGGCAACTGAGAGGAAGCATTTGACTCGTGGATCCGTTTCTTTTCTTTTGGCCAACCAAAACCGCTAGGAATCTACCAAAAAGACCCACCCTTCAACCACTCGACACATTCTAGACAGCTCCCAAGCCGAATTCCGACCTAACCCCTCCTTCCCAGCTCTGACAACCTTTGAAACGCCAAACCAGACTCCTTTATATAGGCCATGAGGAAACAAGTCAGGGTGATGATTGGGGCCGACGAATCAATGGGAAGTCTAACCATCAACAACCTGCGACGACGATCAAGATCCCAAAGGATCTACCATTAACTACCATGATGATTTGACCGATCCTAACTTTTCTCCTGACGACTTCCGACATTGATACATAGTCAAACAATTGGACGATTGAACAATTGATACATAGTCGAATCTTGAGATGATTCAGCTGCTGCTTCAGAGGATCATAATCCCTTCCATGATCTCTGTTTCTGATTCTCCTCACTGTCTCTTGACTATGATCTGAAACGTCATCTGCTTCAGAATACTCTCTATCTGACTCAATGTATATTCGATGCCCAGCTACTTGTTCAGCTTGTTGTGGACGTATATGATCTCTGCCAGTCCTACGGTTTCCCCTTTCTGTACTTGGAATATCTCTTCTCTGATTGAAACACGTCTCTCTTCCCCCAGTAGGTGACTTAGCTGTTCTGTTCCGTGTATGCTTTGAAGTAGATCCCACGTGAGCCTTTCCTTTAGCTAAACGATGGGCCTCATTAGGGCTAGGTGGTTCTGTAGAACTTTGATCTGAAGCGCTAGATGTTTGAGCTATGTCTTTGATCTACTTCTCAAACTTGTTACTGAGCTGCTCCATCTGTTGTTGAAACTGAGTAGACATTGTCCTGTTTGCTTCTGCTATTTGCTTAGACATGGCTTGGTTCAAAGCTTCCATAGCTTCTGGAAAGAGCTCCATTATACCTGCAAATTAAAGAAGTACTCGCAGTAACTTCCTCTTTGAATGAGAAAACAAAGAAACGAAAATAAACTCTAAGAACACTAACTCGAACAATACCAAACCCTATAGCTAACAAACTTGAAATAACTAAACCCTAATTGCAGTCTAATTTCGAAACAACACAAAACTAACTCCTTAACGATCTAGACACAAACGCCCCAACAAAAACTAAACCCTATTCGATCTAGATACAAAACAAACCCTAAACTAAACAAACGAAATTAAGTAAGAGAATAGGGTTCTTAGAATCGCTTAGCCTTGGCACAGAGTTGGATCTGATACCACATAATATGATCTCCCTAGGATAGAACTCCGATGAAGGCTGAAGATGGGTGACAGGCGACGTGATCTGGTTGATGACGATGGGCGATGACTTTGAGTGATGATGTGTGAAGATAGAATGATGAAAAAAATGGTTCAATGGAGATAGATTTTAGGTGGTTGTATGGATTGGATCAAGTGAAGAGTTTATGAATCACAAAGTGTATAGAAACCCGGAAATCTAGAACGCATTCAAGAATTCAAATTGAGAGAAAAAGTGTGACAATACTTGTTCATACAACTTCTTCGCTAAAAGAAAAAAGAGGCGTAGCTTTAGGTTTTAAATACCCTAGGGCTCGACACTCCAAACAACAAGAAGTTCAAAACCAAAACAACAAGACGTTTTAAGGAAATAATAAAAACAGCAAAATGTCTCGACGACCTGTAGTAGTACAGAAGTCGTCTGAACTAGTACAGAAGCTTGACGACCTGTAGTAGTACAGAAGTCGGCTGAACTAGTACAGAAGTACATTATTCCCCCTTTGGTAATGACTTCTAGATAACTCGACGTAGTGATCCATTTGCCTCATTAAAAACCATGCTGAGAAAACCCATTGGGACAAACCTCAGCTATGGGAAAAAGAGTACAAACTTCTCACCTAAGTTACCTAGACCTCATTACCGGGTGAAGTCTTCAGGTTAGATATGTTGAAGACTTGGATCCTTGGTAGGTTGAATGGCCCGTCAACTATGAGTGAGTGTGCTTCCTTGGCCATCTCCTTAGCTCTTGAACGAGTGATCCTTCCCACCATCTCCGGTTTCTCTGTAGCCTCTGGCTCCGTGCTGGCCACGATCATATCACTTATCGACTTGAATTGCCTCCGGCAAAGAAAGCATTTCACAAAGTGTTTCATGTGTCTATGCTAAGGAAATACATAACACCGCGAGAGAAAGTCTCATCGGAACTCCCAGCAGATTTGCAAACGAATATGACTATTGTTGGAAGACCAGTTCGAATTATCGGGAGAAAATCGAGAGCAGGAAGGAAGAAGATGGTTAAGTTGATTCAAGTTGTGTGGGATTGTGATGGAGAAGAAGAGACTACTTGGGAACCAGAGGAAGTAATGAAGGCAAATTTCATGAAATGATTTGAGAAGCAAGAAGTCTCGAAAGAGAAAGTTTAGCTTCGAGGACGAATCTATTCTAAGTGGGGGAGAGCTGTAACGCCCATCTCTGACGAATCCTAGCCGGTACTGGACGTGCCAATGGTCGAGGAAACATAAGTTGGTCGAAGAATTCATCAGATTGTCGAGGATTTATCGGTACGATCGAAGTTTATCGAGAAAGATCGGTGTAAGCTGTTGGAAATCCGAATGATCGAACTAAAAGTTGAGTGTTTGGAAAATCATTTGATTTGTTCGAACAATAAAGGATTTTCGAACAAGTTTGTCGGAAGAGTATCGACCATTGCGTGTTTATCGGACCGTCTGTCGAGAATCGATCGAGTGGCTATCGGTGATGCGAAGATCCGCTCGATAATTGTCGACCCGATTCGGTAACCCATATGTGTTGGTAAGCCGAGATACGTGGGATTGGATTTTCTCAATGGTTGTTCGGAGAATCGGATAAAATCTCGAAGAAGATCGGATTAATGGATATTCCATCGAATTTTCTCAACGGATCGGGAATTTTCTCGAGTCTATAGAAAGACCTACTGACCATTTGTTAGCGTTTTCACGCGTAAGAACCCATAAGGCGATTGAAAAGCTCTTCATCGATAAAGTTAGGAGTTTGTCGAGAATCCGTGAGAAAGGTTGAGAGAAGATCGAGTAATTCTCGAGAATCTTGGTAAGTATCGAGTAACTTTGTGTTTATCGATTGTTTATCGAGTGTTCTTCGAGTATTGTCGGTAAAAGAGTTGGATCTATGTTCTTTGTGTAGATCCGGGTATTTTTCGAGTGTTTATTGGATCCGATCGAGTAAGTTAAGTGACAAGAGGTGTCAGAAAGTGAATCCGTGTAAAAAAGGTGAGAGCGTGACCGTGGCCGAGTCTTGAGTCGTTTTGATTGATTGATTCATTGATGTTTTCTTGCTTGTCATGGTTTATATGTGTTATCGCAATAATGTCTTGATAGTTAATAGATGGTGGTTCCAATAATTATCTCGATGGTATGTTATGTTTATGACTTGCTTGTTTAACTTCTTGAATCGATAAAAATGAATGTGATTTCTTGACTATGCCAAGTGTGATGGGACTACCGCTCCACTAAGCAAATTCGTTTGCTTACGCCTCCTTTTGGATGCAGGAAATGGAAGCAATCTACGTGGCTGAACCAGCTCGTGAGATGAAGGCAAGGAAAGGGAAGATGGTGGATTGGGTAGTTTAATAAATAGGTCTAGTATGTGAAAACGATGTAATAGCTTATTAGCGAACTTGCTGTTTGTACTACAACCTCATTTGGAAATTCAAGTTATCTGTTTTAGATTATTGACTTGTCTATCGATCTTATGCGTATTTATGTTAAGTATATCGAAAGAACTTTGAACTTGAATGAATTTTGAAAGTTCAGGTTAGGGTCTTTCAAGTTGCTTCAAGTACTGAGAAAGAAGAGGAGATAGCGGCATCCGTGGCTCGCTTCTACAATTCTCTGTTCACAAGGGGTTCGTTGCACCAACTTCAAGTAGTGGAAGAAGCTTTACAACCAAAAATCTCTCCGACTATGAATGATGTGCTGATTAAAATCCCAGATGCAAAGGAAATTCATAACGCGCTTTTGGACATTCATGTTGATAAGGCCCCCGGGCCGGACGGTTTTTCAGCCGGATTCTACCACTCCTTCTGGGATATCATTGGCCCCGAAGTCATCAAAGAGGTTCGTTCTGTCTTCGATGAAGACTCTCTCCATCCTCGACACAACGAGACTCATGTTCGCCTCATCCCGAAGATTGCTGTTTCAAAGAAAGTATTCGACAATCGTCCCATAGCGTTGTGTAGTGTTCACTACAAATTTTTTGCTAAAATCCTGTCAAAAAGGCTTCAACCGCTGCTGAAAAATCTCATCTCCACCCACCAATCAGATTTTGTCCCGGGACGAGCAATCTTGGATAATGTTCTCATCACGCATAAAGTCCTCCACTTTCTCCGGGTCTCGAAAGCTGTCCATTGTGCTATGGTGGTCAAGACGGATATGAGTAAAGCGT